CCCTACACCCCTGAATTTATATATCCCCTCCACACCAAGATAAAAGCATAAATACGTACAAACAAATTGCAACTGATTTTATGCTTTTTATGGGCTCTGTAATTTGGGAAATAAAAATATTCTATTCTATTCACAGGCACTTGTCTCAGAAAAAAAATTTCCTATATACCTTAATATAACGTTAAATATTCTTTTAAACTGGAATCCGCTTGTATTACGCTATACTCAAACTATGAACAAAGTGTAGTAATCAGCCGAGAACCAGCTTACTATTCTTTTTCGAGTAGACCCACATATTGATCACGTGACATACATTTTTTTTTCATTTTACGTCCCTGGCAGAGGTTTGTACATGGAAATATTTTATCGTTAAAGTACTCTTGTAGTCAGTAACTTCGTTGACACATTATTTAATTTCAGCATTTTGGTACATAGTTAGCTTTTTATAAATATAATTCTTATGAACACTTTTCATACAACCCCTCAATGTAATGACTATCCCTTTTATGAGGGGTACATTTCAAGTGATAAAAAAATATTTTTTTGTAAAAACCACTTCTTAGTACAAAAGGGCACATATTTATATTATTTGAAGAATATTTTCCCAAAGAACTATACATCTATCTGGTATTATATGGTTAAAACATGTCCAAGAATTTTGTAATATTCAATTCAATTCAATTCAAAATTTTATTGGAAAGAGCACAATAGAGGCGTGATCCAAGTACAGACAATAATATATATTCAACAATAACATCTACTATAAATGAAATAAAGATCAATGTAACAACAAGTCATAAGTCAATTCCATATATGGTCTATGGATACCATATAACATTCAGAATTCTTCATGATACCATACACATATACATCATGATTATTCTAAGTTTTCATAATTTTACTTAAAAACACAGTCATCTATATATAAGATATATGTGTATATGCACAAGCGGCTATAAAGGATTATTATCCGATGAAACAGTATGCATATGGTGGTCTCTCAAATCAAGAGCTTCTTCAATATACATACAAATTGGTTTTAGTTCTTGTCAGAATTGGGATTTAAAATTTTGATAAAATTTTGAATTATTTGAATTTATTTCATTGATTTTATATTTAGATCTAATTTTGTTATATTGAGAACATTCAATCAAGAAATGTATCTCATTTTCAATTTGTCCTGTGCAAAATTTACAAAATCTCTCATTAGAGCGTATTATTGGTCTTGCATACCTACCAGTTTCTATTGCTAATGAGTGTGCACTTATTCTTAATTTGGGGACTTTTTTTCTGAGATATTTAGGAACATTATAGTTTAAATATTCTTGTTGTTTAAATTTAGTATAAATTTTACTAACAAATAAAAGTTTGCCACAGTTTCCATCTTTTATTTTAGATAGTTCAAATATAATTTTGTTTTTGTAGAAATCTTCTAGTTTCTGTTTGAAATTAATATTACAATGCTTGTTTAAGGATATATTCCAATATATTTTGATAATTCAGATAATTTATTAGACCATGAATTTTCTACTTGTTAGAGTTTTGTCCACTTCAAAAGCAGCCTTGAGAATTTCATGTGGACCACCAGACTGTTCACCAATATCACTGAGACGCACATAGTATTAAACATAAGTTGATAACATTTTTAATGCTAATAGGTAATGTACCCAATTCACACCGAACTGCTAGATTGGAAGACTTTCCATGAACCCTAAGTATGTTTTTAAATATGGAGTTATGTGTTTAAAATTAACTTTTGTCTAAAGCTTCAAAATTTGGTTTGGATTCTGATATCCATACTTCTGATCCATAAGTTAAAACAGGTAATTATCATTGAGTTAAAAAGCTGGAGACAAGTTTTAACAGACAAGTTTTCACTGTATGGGAGTTTAGACCAATGCAAAATATGCTTTCTTAGCTTTATCTGAGAGGCTTGACACTGCCTGTATAAATTTTCCAGAGCTATGAAAATCAACTAGTTTTATAATAATCAACGATTTAGATTGCATTAGAACTGTAATAAAAGTAGAAATTTTCTTGAATTACTTTTTTTTTTGAGAAAATTATAATTTTTGTTTTTTTAAAGTTCACATCCAGTTTCCATTCAGCACTATATTTTTGCAAAGAATCAAGACAGTTCTGGAGACCAGTTGTAGATTCAGATATCAATAACAAATCATCAGCATACAATAAATGGTTCAATTTTTGATCATGTAAATTAACTGCACTTGTCTAGTTGATTTGGTATCAAAGTATTTTCCTATGTCATCGACAAATATATTAAATAAAGTAGGACTTAAACTGTCTCCTTGTTTGACTCCTTGATTAGCAAGAAAAGGCTTAGTAAACATATTCTGATATTTACATGAATATAACGTATTAGAGTACATGTCATGCAGTATGTTATAAAATTTGCCTCGGATTCCTTTATCTTTACTTGTAATTTTAAGAATAGAGCTAATCTCCAGACACTCAAAAGCCTTTTTAAAATTAGAAATACAAAACACACATATAGTTTCTTTTTGCATTTAAACAATTATTTGTTTATTATTGTTTTTAAAATAAAGACATGATCTACAGTTCTGTAATTTTTTCTAAAACCACCTTGATTTGAACATAATAAATTATTTGTTTCAAGAAAATCACTTAAGTCTTTTTTGTAATGTGGAGGTAAATACTTTATCAAGACAGCTTGTTATGCTTATACCTCTATAGTTCCCACAATCAGATGGGTCACCAGATTTATAAATTGATGTCAATAGAGAAATGTTCCAAATTTGGGATATTTTTCTGAATTAAGTATCTTATTAAAAAGTTTTGTCAGAAGTAAAACTAAAGTGTTTGACCCTACCTTTAGAAACTCATTAATTATCAGATTAGGACCTCCAGATTTTCCCTTTTTTAACTTCTTAATGCACTGTCTTTGATTTCTTTACATGTAATAGGGACATTAAGGGATGTATTAGTACAGTTATGGTCTTTGTTCTCTATATTTTGATTAGTATCAGTTTTATCATTTTCACTTGAAGCATTTAGTAAATTTTTATAATGAATCTCCCATTCTTTGGCAGAAATAGCAGGTTCACAGTTATTGTTCTTTTTTTTTGTAATTATTAATGCTACCCCAAAATTCTTTGGTGTTCTTTGGATTTATATTATCATTTATTTGTTTTATCAAGGATTGAAAAAAACCTTTTCTAGTTTATTTTTAAGTTTATTGTACAGTATGATGGATTTTTTAAAATTTGCTTTGAAAGAAACTGATTTTTTTGTGGCTTCTAAATACATTTCATTAGTTTTGGTCAATAAGAAGTCAGTATCATTAAAACTATTATTGTCAATTAGTTTGTTTAAAGTCAGAATGTCTTCTACACGATTTTCTTCTAATAAAGGGTCAATATAAATGTCCTTGCTCTGATCGGTCCAATTAAAAGTACCAGGAAGGGACCATAGTTCTTCCTTCTTTATTTCTTTAGGGTGTTTAAAATTAAAAATATTCAATGCTATTAAACAATGATCTGATAGATCAGTAGGTGGTTTTACCATAAAGTTATTGATGGTATAAAATAAATTCTATGATGTCAGCATATAATCTACTGTGCTCTTACCATTACTATTACAAAATGTAAAGTAGCCAAGTGAGTCACCAAGAAATCTTCTGTTCACAATTCTCACTTGAGAGGACTTACAAATATCGACTAGTAGATTCCCATGTAAATTGTTTTTTTGATCTAATTGATTTCTCTCTAAGGGTAAATCAGGTGTATAATATTCAGGTACTGGACAGTCTGTAAAATTGTCATTAACACCATCATTTTGAATAAAGTCATTTAACCCCACCTGTGCGTGCATTAAAATCACCGCTTATAATCACCTCACCTTAAGATAGAAAAAAAGAAATATCATTTTCCATTTTTGTGAATGTCAATTCAGAAAATCCTTATTATTATATGGTTTGATGTAAGTAAAACATAAAAATATGTCTTTCTCTAAATTGAGGAAAGTTCCATCTATTTTTAACTATATTGAGAAGTTGTTCTGTTTTATTTCAGAAATTACATAGTTTCAGCAAAAAAAAAACTATATCATATTTACAAACATTTTCAATAAACAAATCATCCTGAAATTTATCTTCATTTAAACCATGGATATTCCAATAGGCAATATTCATTTAGTAAGTCAAAAATCTATTTACAAAGGACACGGGGAAAGGGAAATAACTCCATTATTATTACTTTACAGATCTTTTTTGTTAATATATGCAGGGACATATAAGTCATTGATATATATGTGTAATGTGTATATTTTCTATTTCATTTATCAAAATAATATATAAATATATAAGTTTCTTTTACTTTAACTTAAAACACAATAATGAGTTTCAAACATGGGACAAGGGAAGTAAATCTAAATTTTTCTGTTTCATGAGATGTGTGCTAATTTTATGTATCATACAACATTGATAGCAATATGTATGTAATAGTGCTATACTTTTAAAGAGTGTATACTACAATATACATGTAATTAATGACATTTGCAAGCAACATAAATAAAAAATTAAAACATACTATTGTGATTTTTGTACAAAAATAAAAATAACTATAATAAATGCTTATTATTCTAATTGGCCTTAATTAAAGTATGTTGTTACAGAAATAGAAGTTTTGTACTCATTACAAGGTTTAAGTCTAAATACTGGGTTCAAATGTGTTTTTTAAGATTCTGACGAGGCATTTTTTGCCTGATTGATTAAAATGAATGCCATCCTCTTGAAAAATGGACGTGTTAATACCACTTATGTCACTGTTCAAAATGAATTTAACATCTGATTGATTTTCGCAATATATCTTTATTTCTTCATTGAATTCTTTTGCTTTTTTGTTGAAATGGGGCTGTTTCACACGATCAAACGTTGGTAAAACATGTATGTGGGAACGAGTATGACTGTTTTTTGTGTTTTCTATAAGGTTTTTCATTTCATTTACACATACAGTAGTTGTTTAAATACTCAAGTCATTGCTTCCTACACCTAAGACAATATGTCTGGTGTCTTTGTTGGTTGTTTCAAGAATAGTCTCCCCTGCACCTTTATATTCTTCATTCCTGGTCCAAGAACCTTGATGTTTCTGTACAGTTTTGAGGACAATAGACTTTCCATGAGAGTCAATAATTATTTCTAGATCTTGAGCATACCTGTATGTTTTTTCTTTAGGAATACTGTTAAAATTATCATCATCTTTCTTTACCTTTTGTTCATCTCTGATTTTTTCATGAACTGTTATCATCATCTTTCTTTACTTTTTGTTCATCTCTGATTTTTTTCACTTATATCTGTCATGTCATCATTTTGTGTTGTAAGCCCTGTAAATCGGTTGTGTGTGCTTATGGTTGCCTTGTATTCAATTTCAGGTACATGTTATTGATCTGATGAAGTTGTTTTTCAAGATCAGATAGTTTCTTGTTTAAAAACTGATTTTGCTCCTCAAGAGCCTCATTTTGTGTTCATAGTTTTGAGTTTGACGACTCGATCCAAATTTGTCAACACTTTCTTAAGTCAGAATTTTCCTTTAATGTGACAGTGTAAGTATAACTTTGTTTCTTTGTAAATTTATTTTTGTCAAAATTGACTTTTCAAAGTCTACAAGTTTCTTGTCAAGGACTGCTGAACTTACAAATTGTTTCTTCATCTGATTAGATGATAACACAAGAAGCTCTTTTTCTAATTTTTGTTGATTTTCTTTCAGGTCATCAAGATTTTGATTTAGTTCTGACATTTTGCTATCATAGTTATTGTTATCTGTAGGGTTGTCATTTTTTAAGCCTGCACAGGTGTTTGACACTTCACATAGTTTACTCTCTAAAAATTGCAATGATGCAAGAATATTTTCAGTAGATTGTTTATTTATCACAATTAATCTACAGCATTCAGAAATAAGCCCCCCTCCCCCCCTTAACTGACAGTGTAATGTGTTGGAATCTAGACCAGATTCAGAACGGATGCAGAATAGCATCTGACCTACTCTGTTAGGAATGCAGTCTAGAAACCAGTGAATCCAGTTGGGTACTTAAGTAAAACAAACACATGTTTGGGAAAAGAACCACAGTTTAATGCTTATAGTTTTCATATTAATAAAACCACAAACAACAGTACAGTTTTCAAACAATACACAAATTAATTAATGAACAATCTGTGGTATTCCATATAAAAACTAACATATTATGAATACAAAACTGTGTGTTCTTGTAAGTCAAACTACTCTAAACATATTTATATACACAAAATAAATTGATACAATAATAATAAAACAAATATCAAGCCCTTTAAAGGGTGGGTGAGGATGGGATTTAAAAATTTCCAACTGCAAAAATATAATGCTTCTGCTTCATGCAACTGAATTAGCTTGAATGCCTATGAAGACGCGCAATTGTTAGAACAAAGAACCAACAGTAATTAATTAACTATCTGATTGGACATTTTGAAATGAGCGCCCTATTCTGATTGGTTCTCTAACTAAATCTCACTACACAATTAGGGAACGAGATTTCAACAGCAGCAACTAGGAAAACCCAATCTTCTCATTGGTTAAAAGTTTACAATGACATACAAAGCTAAGGATACACTCATTTCCATAAATGACTGTATCCTGATATGAAGTAACTTAATATGTTGTTGATAAGAGGCAATGCAATCACAAGGATGAATTGCATTTCACTATACTGTGTATTAATACTCAATTTTTATTTATATAAAAATACCACATTAATCTACAGCATTCAGAAATAAGCCCCCCTCCCCCCCTTAACTGACAGTGTAATGTGTTGGAATCTAGACCAGATTCAGAACGGATGCAGAATAGCATCTGACCTACTCTGTTCGGAATGCAGTCTAGAAACCAGTGAATCCAGTTGGGTACTTAAGTAAAACAAACACATGTTTGGGAAAAGAACCACAGTTTAATGCTTATAGTTTTCATATTAATAAAACCACAAACAACAGTACAGTTTTCAAACAATACACAAATTAATTAATGAACAATCTGTGGTATTCCAAACTTCCCAAACATGTAAAGTGGAACCAGTAGGGGTAGGTAAGTATAGTTATTTATTTCCCAAGGGCCGCAGCAAATTTATTCATGACTTTCTGTCGATGAGCAAAGGAAGGATCCAAGTATAACTTATATGCATCTGATTTCCAATCACCCTGAGACTGAATATGATCAGCTGGTATCCCACATTCTAAGGCGAAGGAAGCTCCCCCTCTACGAAAACTATGTCCCGAATATTTGGTGCTGTCATAATTTAACAATGATAAGTTATGTTTTAGCATTTTTACAAAGGTGGCATAGGTAAGAGGTGTTACCTTGCCCTGCACTAAGTACAAGAAGACCGGTGATGGGGAGCTTATGGCTGGTACCTGCTTGAAATTAAGAAGGAGAGCCTTAGAGGGACATAAATGAGAGTTGTTCACTCTTGGAAGTGGGATTTCTAACACACGCTCTGAAAATTGAATGGTTTTGGTTTTCACTACTCTTAATCGGACACCCTCTGCATGAAAAGTGATATCTTCTCGAGATAACTGTCGCACAGGATCAAAAGCTGAAAGAGATGGAGCAAATAAATTTGACTTTCTTAAAAAGGAAAAGAAGGCAACTAAGCAGGCTGCCCAAAAGCATAAGTCCTTACTACTGCTTAATGACAACAAAGTGAATATTTCATTTAAAATCTTCGGCGTTAAAGGCAATTTGCTATGAACTGTGCATCCTAATACACGCTTAGCACCTTTTAGTACCGAATCCATAAAAAATGACTCCAATGGAGACGTAATCCCTGCTTCTAAATGTAACAAACGGATAATTGACAAGTAATTATTTATGGAGTTAAACTGTAGTCTCGCAGACAAATAGGCTACATATCTTGCTAAGTTCAAAGGACTCAAAGGAACAAGGGCAATGTTAATTCTTCTACAGAATTCCATATAGGATTTTAAATAGTTCTGATACGTCTTTTTGGTAGACTCAGCATAAGTATGATTTCTAAATTTTGCCACAATACTATCCAGTGTTGTCATCTCCTTGGATGCCAGTGAGCCTAAATAAAAGAAAACGAAGGGCGTTACTAGACATGTGCTTAACCAGATCGCGTACAAGCAATGGTGGTTGAACATAAAACCGCAAAAATTTTTCACAGTAAGTTAAATCATGTAACCGCGAAATGTGATCTGCAAGTATATTTTCTTTGCCTGGCACATGCTTAGCTATTAAATGAAAGTTGTATGTTGCTGACAACCAAAACAACTCGCGCAAAAATGACATCAAACTTGAATTTTTTGATGTACATTTATTGATGCAGCTTACTGTAGCCGCATTATCACAGTAAACTATAATACGCTTGCCACGCCAATTTTGGGCCCATCGCTTTACTGCCAACGCCACCGAAAACGCCTCTAACTCATTAATGTGTAGCTGTGTTGCAAAGGGGTAATCTTCAACCCAGTTAACATAAAACCAATCACTGTGGTAGAAACCCCCTGCACCTGATTTACAAGCATCAGTCACTACTGAAGTGATAGGAACCTTTGCCAAGAAAAAGGACTTCCCATTAAAAGTCCTCATAAAGTCATGCCACCATTTTATATCTTGTAATATTTCACCTGACATACGCAATTTATGCCAATCCTGCTTTAAGCGCATTATGCCATTTATGATTCTACGGAGAAAAACTCTCCCGCCTCGAACCACTGCAGACGCCCAATTAAGCTTCCCCGCCAGGGATTGCAATTGCTTTTTCGAAGCATGCTTACGCAATAAAAATTCAGCAAGTTCTGATTTTAAATCAGTTAATTTTGATATAGGCAGCCTAGTCTCTAAAGTGGTAGAATCTATCTCAACCCCCAAAAATACAATTTTTTGACATGGGTCTGTAACTTTAGACCAGCTTATACAAAAACCTAATTTTCGCAACAATGCAATTAATACTGCTAATGCCTGAGCACAACGCTTTTTTGTCCTCTCGCAAATAAAGAAATCATCTAAATATGCTACAATGGTGAAACCTCTGCGTGACATCATTCTTCGAACAGCTTGGGACAATCTATGAAAAATGCCTGGTGCCAATTTTGACCCAAAAGGGAGTTTTTTATCAATAAATGTGTATTCATGACCATCAGGAAATGCCCATTTAAGCCCAGTAACCTTTTGACTTTGTTTACTTATTCTAACAGACCTATATGCAGCCTTTAGGTCCACTTTAGCCATATAAAAATTTTTTGAAACTAACTTGCAAGCATCATCTACTGTTTGGAACCTTTGTTTGTCAAATTCACCTGCAAAATCATTCACTGCAGAACCCATTGGTCTACTACAGTCATGAATGATTCGAACTCCACCGTCAGGTTTTGGAATCACTCCAAGCGGACTAATTATTTTAGGAGGGGTATTTACAAAAACATAGTTTCCATTTTCAATTTCTGTTAGGATCTGCTGATGGGCCTGTTTATAGAAGGGGCTACCAGGTTTTGCTGAAGGGTGATTTTTTGAGCGTATATCTTTTGGTATGGGAACATTCATGACAATGTCGAACCCATGTTCAATGCCAAACAACAAAAATTCTTTATCAAAGTCATCAACCAGTTCTTCTGTCCATGCAGACAGATCAAGTACACGCGAAGGCTTCACCATTGTTCTTAGTTTTTTGTATGCTGAAAAGCTGGATGTTTATCAGCATATGCAGGAATAGCACATACATGTTCAAATTTACAGTGAGACATAAAGCAGCCCTTGCGACTATTAAATTTCTTACAAATCATCTTACCACCTGGTGCATGAGAAGCATATGTGATTAAATGTTGTTTATTGCTCACTCCTTTCGAGCCTTGAGTCTGAGGTGTAGTGCGGGAATACTGACCCTGCAAAAACTTTGGCCTCAAAAACACAGAATGGAGATGTGGAATGTCAGTACCCCATCTGAACTGGTGTTGTTTTTGCAGTCGCCGATATTCCCGATCAAAAAACAAGACAGACACCAACTCGCAGCTAGAAAGGAAGAGGTAAACACGCATGGTGTATGACAAATAGTCCATAACTTGTGATGAGGCAAGGTCCCCTACAGCTAACAACTTATGCATAATGGACAAATTTGCCATTGACCATTGTGTTACAGTTAAAGTTTCTAATTTGGGCTTGGCTGGCCCTGACTTAAACACAAGTTTGCCACCTGATGATTCTGAAACTAATTTTTCTTCTGACTCTGTCAGTTCTCCTAAGGTATTAGGTAAAAATTCAGTGATATCAAAATAATTTACATTAGGATCAAAGCTAGCAGATTTTAATAATATTTGCGGATCTTTCCATGAAAAAATGTCATTGATAAGCAAATTATTGTCTCTACCTTGAGAATGAGAGGATTTAGCATTAAAATCATTGATTGAATGTCCATTATTGTCCTTTTGCACTGCCATCATTTTCATAATTTCCTGGATATATGTATCGTCCGCTCTAGGAATGTTCGCATGGACGCCGCCATCTTGAATGTTTACGGAAGTGCTTCTGCCGCCATCTTGGATGTTTACGGAAGTACTACTGTCGCCATCTTTATTGTAAACCCCGCCTCCAATCTCTCTTGTGGTGACTCCGCCTCCGATTTCACTTGTGTTGCGCATTGACGCCCCATTAATATTTCCACCATTTTCGTCTCGACCGGTCTTGAAAGTTTTCTGCAACGCTCTAAGCAAAACTTTTTGCTGGCCTAACGGGATGTTGAAAGTTGGCATATCTTCTGACTCAATCATCGAAATTGCCTCCATAGTGTCAAATCCATGTCTCAATAACTCCGATGAGGTGTTATCGTTTAATTTCATAGTTGCTGCCCACAACTTAACCCGATCACTGTCATTAAAGATCTCCACTTAGCGGTCGCTGTCGCCGTTTTCCGCCATTTTTGCAAGTCTTTAAATGAATTTAAGCAAACGTGGTATTAACAATTCCAAATATAGATTTAAAGTTCACATTAAATCCCGACTAATCGGACCTGCTTTCTGCCTTGACGCTTCCACTACACAAATTCTTTGTGAAACCACAAAAATAGCATCCATTACAACACGCTGCACAGTCTAAAGTAATGCTCCAGTAAACGTGAGCACGATCTGCTGACGATTCCACGATATACGTTTTAATTGTTTCCACTTCTTCTGGAGTTAACAAATACCATTCTGGGATAAGTAAAAATGTTCTTACAAATTTTTCACTATTTTAAAAATTTCCAACTGCAAAAATATAATGCTTCTGCTTCATGCAACTGAATTAGCTTGAATGCCTATGAAGACGCGCAATTGTTAGAACAAAGAACCAACAGTAATTAATTAACTATCTGATTGGACATTTTGAAATGAGCGCCCTATTCTGATTGGTTCTCTAACTAAATCTCACTACACAATTAGGGAACGAGATTTCAACAGCAGCAACTAGGAAAACCCAATCTTCTCATTGGTTAAAAGTTTACAATGACATACAAAGCTAAGGATACACTCATTTCCATAAATGACTGTATCCTGATATGAAGTAACTTAATATGTTGTTGATAAGAGGCAATGCAATCACAAGGATGAATTGCATTTCACTATACTGTGTATTAATACTCAATTTTTATTTATATAAAAATACCACGTATCGTGTTCTTGGCGTTACAATTCTAAGGGTTGACATTTTCATAGGTTTTGTCTCACTTTGGTCTAATTGTGTTGTGAAGAAAGTGTATTCTGTGTTTGATTAATCAAGAAGACTATTGTGTTCACCAATTGATTAAAGATATTGGAACTCTGTTTTTGCCCATGATAAATAAATTGTGTTCCTTGAACTGTTATGAGAAAGGTTGTTGGATATGTATTAATTATATATAAATGAAATGTAAGTATATATAGTTTGTTTGAGTCAGTATTTATTTCTGACACCTATGTTGCCCTCTTTAGTATTTTTTTTGTCTGTCCACTTGCATTAGTATAGTTGTCAAGAGCCCCAAATAGGGAATGGTAGCGAAAAGCAAAAGTTTTTATCCAAAGCAGAAACCGATCTTTTGATTCAACTGAGAATGCTACCATACACGCAGCTGGCCTGTACAAATCGTGATAAAGTTTTTCAAAAGGTGCCTTGATAGCAATGCCTGTTGGAGGTTTTGGTTGATCAGGCAACTTATACTTAATAAATTCAGTGTCGGGCATCCAAAGATTGGATTGAGTAACACTCTCAATGGCAATTTTAGGTAGATCGTCAAAAATTAAGATGTCATATTATTGTTAGTTTTTACAATGACTTGACAAGTTTTGGGTCAAAGAATGTAGATAATGGGCAGGATGGTGATAATTGGCTGTTGTGGTGGATGTTATCAATATAAGGAGTCTTTATATATTACTTGGAACCATTCCCTTAACTTTTGTCCTTCTATATTTAGGAATTGTTTATCATAGTTTGTCCGGAACCGGAAGTAATATTGATGGACTTGAATGTATATCTTCTTTATTATTAAAAATAAGTGGACCCCTTTTTTAGAAAAGTTGTTCCAAAAATAATGAATTTTTCCACTTTTAAGTTAAAAAAGCTAAGATTTTCTTTTTTCTTTTCTACAACAGCAAAATGACCCCTTGTCTGGGGGGACAGTCCTTCATTTAAGGGATATCCCTCATTTGGAGGGTTGTTCCCAACCTGATAAATTATATTTATAAATCAAGGTAATTAGGTCACAAGGTGTACGTTAAGGATAAAGTGATAAAAGATAAAAGTGAACTCAATGAATGCACCAGTGACTTATTCATAAAAAGAGTCTGTGTATCTTCATACAAAGTGTCCTGTTACACACCCCTGTACTGTTTTTTACTAAGCTATGCTGGGGGCAAAGTTGTACAACTTATATTAAAACTTTTCCCTTTAGGGTAATGTTTTATTATCTGAACAAAATTCTGTTACATAATTTGGTGAAATACCTTTGTCAGGTTAAATTATTTTTGTACACAGCCAGTTACTCAAGTGTGAAGTGAGTAGATGTGAGTGAACAGTTTTATTTCCTGTATGATCATGTGATCAAAAGGTTAGAATTTGACTCCAAATTATAAGTTTGATCTTTAATTCCTTGAATAAAGACATGGATTATTTCCTTAGAATTTTGTTGGTACACTAAAGAGGTTTATGAGGAGTTTAAGGTATTAATTAGTTATAATTATTTGCTTCAATGCGATCTCTTTGGGATTTGAAAGCTTTTAATTCTAGAAAATTACTTTTATAGAATCAAAAAGATTTCACAAAATTTTCATGCATAATAAGGTTGGATGTGAAACAAAATGGTGACTATTACAGTTTCTTCACATTAGTTTATATATTAAACACTCTTCCAAATGTCCGTACATGTCTACAAATTTACAAGTTTTGCAAAAGCAGAGGCTGATTTAAGGGGGTGCCCTTCCCCTATATGGAGCTACATTTATGGGCCCCCCCTTTTCAAAATCCTGGATCTGAAAACCTTATATTTATTAATATTTCTAGGGTCATTTGACTTAATGAAAATCCAAATGTATTGCAGCGAGTTTGACTTCTCTCATCAGCAAGTAGATTGTTCTAGTCTACCGGTATGTGAAAATTTTTATGACCAGTGAGTGTTTTAATATTAAATGTTTCTTTTCAGTTCTTGGAGTACTATGAACTTACAGTCGTCTAACTTTGTATTCAAATGCATTTAGGATAGCCAGACATTCTTACAACTCCATTATATAGACTTTCAACAATGGTAGACACAGTGTATACAGGTATAATAGTTTAAAAAAAAACAAAAAAACTTTTACAAACCCTGTTTTTTTTACCTTTTGGATACTTGTAGCTAAAAAGATTAATCAGATATAAATTATAACATATCTTTTCAACATAATAATATCTGTCTGTTTCTTTGCTTTAGTTATGAGCTGATATTCAGTATTTACAAATATTTGCCATGTATTATATAATTTATAGCCATCTACATCTACATCCATATGAACCGCAATAGGTCACGGAACAATAACCTTAATCTTACTTAATGATATTTACATGCAAAGAAATGTTTTATGGTTTAAGTTTTACAGAATAATATTAATATTATATATTGGATATGTTGTTATTCTTGTTGAGATAGATATATTAGAAATTGATTGAAATATGACATTGGTTGAAGGAGAATTTTTTGTACTAAAGAAAACATAAACAATCCGGGTTACGTACACTTATCAATCCTTTAAATAAACTTATTCTAAAAGGTTACCTATTCAACAGTGTTAATAAATCTTTGAATATTGTTTTTATTGGTGTAAATATTGATTTTGTCATCAATGAATTAAAACCATACTAAATATTACACATGTGTACTTTCACGGTTCTACAATCTGTCAATACCTATAGTTTGGCATTGCACAAGGTCATGTTTTTCTCTGACTATTATTGACGTCTTTACCCTTAATCCATTGGATGTTGGATGTGAACTGATTGATATTTAAGCCTTAGATACATGATTTTTATGCCCATTTATGGGCATAATGTTTTTCGGACTGTGGGTCTGTTCGTTTGTCGGTTCATTAGTCTGTTCGTTCGTTTGTCTGTCGGTTCGTTCATCTGTCGGTTATTCGTCTGTCGGTTCTTTCGTTCGTCTGTCTCTTCGTTCGTCTGTCTGTCCTGCTTCAGGTTAAAGTTTTTAGGTTAAAGTTTTTGGTCAAGGCAGTTTTTGATGAAGTTGAACTTGAAACTTAAGTACACATGTTCCCTATGATATGTTTTTTATTAGTTGTTATTGGCTTTGAACTAGCTGTCAGTAACTGCGAGTACTCTCAGATCTGTACTTTGTGCCTTTTTGCTTTTGGGATGTATAAGTACCCGTTTTTGTTAGATGTATTTCTATTTGTTACTGTAATAATCCATCTGATGGGTAAAGCCTTTTTCAACTGATTTTTATAGTTTGATGTTGTACTGTTACACCTCTGTCCCAGGTTAGGGGGAGTGTTGAACACTTACAAACATGCATGTTTAACCCCGACACATTTCATTCTTTATGTGCCTGTCACAAGTCAGGAGCCTGAAAGTTCAGTGGTTGTCCTTGGTTCATTTTTGTCATATTTGTTTTTATGTAAACTGTTTATAAATTAGGCTGTTAGTTTTCTCAATTGAATTGTTTCATATTTTTAGTGTCTTAGGGCCTTTTAAACCTGACCATATGATTTAGGTTTATCTCATTGTTGAAGGCCGTACAGTTGCCAGTATAATGACTTGCATCTACTTCATTTGAACTTTGGTGGACAGTAATGTCTCATCATACCACATCTCCTTATTTTTATATGAATGTCTTAGATTAAATAAACATTTTATAAAGAAGTCTATAAATAAAATAAAGTTTTAAGTTTCCATCCTTTCAAATATTTTATACTTATCTGATATTTTAGAGGAACCGAACAACTGAACAGAGCAGAACAGTATTCAATGACCTTGAAGAGCAAGCAATGTGTACAGTGAAACAGCTATCTTTGTAGTTACCAAAGGGTTACGGCAAGAACCTCATCTATAATTATATGTGGTGAGTATTTTTTTGTTGGTTAGAAATTATGCAATAGGGTACTATAATTTTTTTTCTTGGAGTCTATTTACCTATTAGGTACTTGGGACAGGACAATTTATTTTTAACACTCCCCCTTTTTTCCAAAATCTCTTATTTTTTTGTTTTCTATTAATTTCAATTATTTTTGCGTTTTTCTGTTGTATGAACATAAATATACTAAAAATAACTTGTAGTTGCTATTTTCTATCAATTTCAAGTTTACTATCCACAGCGGTCACTGATATATATTATATAGAGGGAAGGTATCTCACCTCATACCTCATCACCTATTTTCCTACTTGAATTCTTTGAGAGATCCCTATTCTAATTCATAAAATATTAAATTTCCTTCAGGTCAGTGGGCATGACTCTTTTCTGTTATCATTCCTCATATATTTTCATGTATATTGTTGTATATATATTTATTTTTTATATAGGTTTCTTCAAAGAATTGATGGTAAGGTAGCTACAGAACTGTAGCTCTTAGGTCTTTATAATATATCATAAGGACCTAATTAAGAGCTATGGTTCCGCACCTAATAGTAAGATTGGTGGATTTATTTCTTTTTATATATTTTCATGTGTATATGGTTGTATACATATTTATTTTTTAAATAGGTTTCTTCAAAGAATTGATGG